GTGTTTGAAATGAAAGGGAAAAAAATAAAATTAGAATATTTTTCCTTAAATGTGATGTTTATTTCCTGAAAAACAGAGAATTCCTTGCCACATATTTCATCATATTTAATAACATTAGCATCCTGAAGTTTAAACAGTAATTGAGCTGTCACTAACTTCTACAGTTAGTTTTCTGGTTAGTTTTCCCTAGTTTGCTGGTCTTTCTGACTTCTGTCTGCTTCGCATATTCTGTTCCTTGTTTTATTGTCCTTCCCTTAGCTCCAGCTATCCCACCCCATACTTAGTGCTATTTAGTTAATGAGCAAGAAAAGGCATATGACATGATGAAATTTCTATAAAATTGTACATAATTTGAGGAGATAAATATCAACCTATTTTCTTAATTCTTATAAACTTTTCTGTTTATTTCTTTTTGCTACACATTCAGAAGGTTTGTAGCTGCTGACATTTTAGGAAATGATCCATTGGCACAAATAAAAAAAGCAGAATGCATTATTGCAGATGTAGCTTCACCAAAAATGACCAGAGTCAAATTGTTTTCTATTAAAACAGTTATAAGAAGATTAAAATACCCAAGAAAATGGACATGAATACTTCTTCATGATTTATGAAAAACCCTTATTTCTTCATCACTGTGTACAGCTTTTACTGTCAATAACTCAGAATGACTTAATGAGTTGGAAAAGGAAATGCAGTAATGATAATAAATGAGTTTGAAATCATAACGTTGGTGCTATGCAACCTCTACAAGCAATTTAGCCAGAGGATAACTAATGTTTTATAAAAATATTTAATTTTTCTGTAGTTAAAATTAAATTAGTATACTAAAAATTATATAACAAAAGGAAATATTTTTCCTATTTATCCAGAAAAATAGAACTACCATATTTTGCTAAAGGTCTTTGGCTTGATGTCAACATTTACAATTCCATGTAACCCCGTAAATATATTAGACTTGTTTTAATATCTTATAAGATGATGTAGTCATTGCTAATTAGCTGAAATCTTTATAGAACTACTTTTCTCATGAAAATCATTCAGTTTCATTAGTCAATAGTTTGTTATACAAAATTATAATTTCTTCTATTCATTTAAACTTGCCTTCTACTTTTGCTGCATTCTGGAGGTAATGATCTTTTGCTCAAAGATAATTCTGGGATTTGATAATGAATACTATCAAATAAAGAGACAAAGTCTGTTTACCTTCACTATAATGCAATCATGCAAAACAACAGTGAGACAAAAATACATACAAGAGAAACTGCTTAAAAACAGAACTATCCCTTACAAGGACATTTGCATTACAACCCTCTTTTTCTCAGCAAAAAGTTTATGCATCTTTAAAAGCTTGATTTCTATAATCAGTATACTATTCTTATTTTATTTAAATGTGGAAATTATATAGCAAAACTGACATTATGTACCTTTTTGAAATAACCAAAGTAACTATCACAGAACTAAGGGAGAAACAGAGAAGGGATGATAATGAAAGTCAGAAATGTCTCATACAAGTATCTTCGTTGTCACACATTGAAAGAAAGAAGAACAAAGGCCAGGTCCAGGTAAGGATTTTAATATTTAACCTACTGAAGCATCTTTTAATCCCCTATGAATTCCTAGACTTACAACATCTTGGTAACATTGTGCTTTCCCCAACACTGTCGCCCAGGCTGCCTGCTCTCTGAATCTTGGTTCCTCAGTTCCTTTTTCTTCTTAATATCATGCTGTTTCTCATTGAGGTTTTAGTTGTGTCATATCCCTGACTTTTGAGCTGTGAATAAAGAATCCATACTTCTTTCACTATGCTTTTCTTCCAAAAATTTCTGGTAGTTTTAATCTTTCTGGAGAACTTAGGAGAAGAATAAAGATAAACCCATCAAAAATGGCTTATAAATACCTAGTGCCAAAAACTATTTTTCCTATATACACCTTATTTAATATTTGGGAATTTTTACAAAGACTTGTTTTTTTATTCTGTTCATAAGTCCAAAGCCTCTTGTACGAGATGCATGTGAAATTTCCACTGCATCTTTGGATGTGCACATGGCAAGGTTTGTCTAACTTCTTGTTAATCTAATGGTTTTAAAATTGACAATCACAAAATAGAGAAAAATATCAACAAAACATTTAAAAAATTTTATCTTGTATTCTAGGCCTACTGATTTTGACAATGGAAGGAAAAGATCCTATTAGGGCAACACCTAAATTTTCCCTAACACCATAATTGTTTCAAATAGATGAACAACCTTCATGCCCAGGTCCCTTCTCTTCTAACCACATACTTAGGCAAGAGAAACTTCAGGAACAGAGTGACTGGATACATTTAGTGTTCCTTAATAGGACTTCCTCCATCTTTCTGAGGCAAGTGTGTCTTTGACTCTGTAACTCAATCATACTCCAACTGTGGAATATGTGTCCTAACAATTAATCATAACTTCATTAGTCAGCTGTGACACCCTTTCCTTTGGAGATGTTGCTTCAAAATTATAGAAACACCTCAGTATCATCTTTTATTTTCCAAATGTACATAAAATGATACAGGCTGTTTAGCATCAGACAGCAATAAAGTTAGCCAATGACAAGTTGATTCACAATGAATTTACCAGTTTTGCTTAATATAGCATTTGCTATACCATTTTTTTTTTTTTTTGGTACCAGGGATTGAACTCAGGAGTACTCAATCACTGAGCCACAACCCCAGCCCTATTTTGTATTTTATGTAGAGACATGGTCTCACAGAGTTGCTTAGTACCCTCCCAGTTCCTAGAGTTGGCTTTGAACTCACAATTGTCCTGTCTCAGCCTCCAGAGCTGCTGAGGAATTATAGGTGTATGCCACTGCGCCTAGCTTTCTTTTAAGAAGCCCCAAATCCTTAAAAATGAGAGTTCATCTTACTGGCAAAATAGGATAACAAGTACTTTATTCTTACCAATTAAAAGATGCAGGAAAGGAGAAAATTAAGAAAGTTTAAGAGCATGGTTTTAAATAATCTTATTTTGGGGAAGTTTTTTGGATTGCCTAAAGAAAAAAAAATATGAAAACTTTTCCATGAATTGTTTCCCTTAGACTTTTAAGACAAGAATGATTACACATTACATTGAATTTTCTGGCAGGAGTTTGACCATATTTTAAAAAACTTAATGTAAAAGAATAAAGCAAAACATTTATTCTGTAGGTCGATATTTATATTACTTGTGATAGCACTCCAACAACTTTGGCAGCATTCTGAGTAGTTGGCAGTTTCTACAAAATATGCCAAGTAAGGAGCACAACATTACTACGCTGTATCATGTCACATTTTTCCAAAACACAAATATTGAACTTTCGCCACATGTTCTTGTACAGAACTGCTATGGCAACATCTTTGTAGCACTCCCAAGCTCCTTTGAAAAGTAGTAATATAATCAGTGCAAAAGAAGGTAAAACGTCATCATTACTGTGACTATAATTACCTGGTTGGCAAAATTCTGTACAGAATCACATATTAAAACAAAATTTATTTAGTAAAATAAATGTCTTATTTCAGCTCAGCTTTTATGTTTGTGGGAATTATCTATTAAAAATGTACATAGATCATTTATCATATTTATAGGCTTTTTATTCTTTGGTTGCAAATTTAAACTTTCATTGTAGAACATTTAGAAAATATAGGCTATTTTGGAATAAAAATAGGTAATCATAAAAAAATTTAATTCAACATGTGAGAAAGAATATTTTCCAATTATAGTATTTTCTTGTATTTTGGGCAAATGATTTTAGGATTCATTTCCAACTTACTTAAATGAGTTATGATAACTATAAGTTCATATGCTTTCATTATCAATATGGATTTTTAAAAATAGTCAGAATATTGTCTTTGTGTGATTTTTTAATATAAGAAAAATTTAGAGTAGATACATAAATTCACTTAAATGGAAGATAGCAATAGTGAAGACATTTTGAATGATTACAAAGAATGTTCAAAAACATAAATTTGTGACAATTCTTCAAATGAGTAATATAAATCTGTGATGAAGTGAACTATTGTAGGTATTATATATATATATATATATATTATATATAATATATATATATATATATATATATATATATAATTTTTTCTAAGTGTGTAAAGGCTGTTACAGGAAAATCTCACTTTCTAATAAACCACTTTAATTTCCTTTTAAAAATATTAATCTGGAAGAACACTTTTTAAAGTAGAGAAAAAGTATAAATCAAAAAACCCAATGGAAGGTGCACCACAGAATCAGCAGACAAAATGAGCCTCAGACCTCATTCACACAGAGAATAGTTTGAAATAGCAGAGCCCCACAGATATCCATTTTCCTTCTACCTAATAAAGGAGAGAACTTTATTCATACATTAAAGTTCAAAGATGCAATGAGAATGCTACAAAAATATCTTGAATATTTATTTTTATTTTGATAAGAAAAATTATCCTTGAAGTTTTAGATATGTTCTATCTTAGTTGTTAATCACTGTAGACTACAGATGAAAATTCGGACATTCTCAGGTTTCAACTTTTGTCATGTTCACTTCTTCAAGCAAGTTTAAGTCACCCCTTCACTGATTATATCCCTATATCTATTTAGGTTTGAATCTTAGTCTTCACCAAATTTCAGACAATTGAAGTTTGCAGTATAAGGCTTACCTGTGGATCACTTTTAAGGAATATATTGTGTTTCAGTTAGAGAAGTATATGCATGATTGTCAACTCTACATATTGACAAAGAAATATCTCAGCCCATAGGTATATGCATTCTTGTGCTGACTCAGAATCACCTCCTCTCAAGGAGAACTAAACACTTGAGTTCACTGAAAGAAGCCCTCAAATAAAGCACTTCCAGCAATGGCATAATTTAAATGCATACTATAGACAAATTAGAAGGGAATTATTTATTAATTTGGATTTGGATTTAACATCTCATCTGATGTCAAATCAGGAGTTGAATTTTGATAAACCCTTCTTAGATAAGACAATGATAAAACAACTCACTCACCATTCCGACTCTCTTCATCAATAGCAACTATGGTGGCTGGTGGTCCTCCCCTAGCTAGTTTGCAATCTAAAGAGAGAGAATGATCAAAGGTAAGAATAACAATTCTGGGAGGACTCACTCCAAGATCAAATACATTGAGATATACATTGATATTTCCAAAGACAAATCATACAACACAATTAGCATGTATCATTATTTAAAATATTTTATTATTTAAAAAATATTTCCTAAGAACCACAGATTCCTTATCACATCATGACATAGTCACTTTGTACACCAAAAAAACTATTCAAATCTTACTGAGAAAACACCAGCAGAGATCACTGGAGAGAAGAAGTCCTTCAGGACAGAGATAATGAGATGATAATTTAACCCAAAGAAATAACATAAAGGAATGATTAACAAGGATAAATGGTAATTAAAGCTTCACAACAGAAACAAACATAATTGGACTTTAATTGTGATAAAGGGTCTAATTAAAGAGAGTGAATAGAATTTTAATAATGTTCTAAAAAGAATAAAACAAAGACAGACAAGCAATGCTCATGAGGTTGTTTGGGGTTTTATTTTTGTCATCTTACCCTCATATTGCCAGTCTGCAGTCAAAAGTATAGAGTCATCAATGGAAGCAGATCAGAAAAATGGAAGAAAGAAAGGAAGAAAGAATATATGTATATATATTAGGAAGAGATTCACGATATAAAAACCACTATATAATAACAGATACATTGCCTAATGATTCATGGAAATGGAAGATATAAAATCTATCAGATGTTATAATTCTGATAATAATAACACATTAACTTGATAATATACATAATTAGCATTGTAGAAACTATTATAGACGTTAAAATATCATAAAACATTGTAATTTTTTACAAAAATACAAATTACTTGTGCACAGTCTATTACCTGCAATGTTGAAAAAACTTTCTGTGTATTGCATATCAATCAGTAGTGGTAACTAATTCATAATTTCAAACACTGCTAATACCTTGCTGGGTATCACATGGTATGAACATAAAAACAGTAGCATGTGCTATAATATAGATGGCAGTTACAATGTGAAAGGTTTGCCTGAAAGATGTCAAATGTACATATCTGATACAAAAAAAAAAAAAAAACATTCTTCTAGGAGATACAAAGACAGGGTGATAGAGTTGTGTCATATATATTTGACATACTGACATATGTATGTGTAAGTATTTGACATATTCCTGTACAAATATCAGATTAACTTTGCATAAAGACATCCAACTTTATGTTATTTGAAAGATGATTTCAAGATTTATTTACTAATTTTTTTTCCATTTTTATGAATATGTGTATGAATAACAAGGTCTTTAGCATGCACTGTTCTGCATTGTAAGGTGTGAATTCTCTCACATGAATCAAAGAAGCTGAGAGGTGTATGATTTTTCTTTTGTCATCCTTGTCAGTATTCTGGGAGTTTGAGGTCACAGTGCTTTTAGACCTATGATAACCCATGGTCATCCCACTTCCTCTGTCTTCTCCAGGTGTCCTAAAGTTCAGCTCCTCATGTTTGTCACCTCTACAATGCTTTTATCACTACTCTCCCAGAAGCTTTATTCTCATCCCAAATCAAAGCTAAATTATGACACAGACATCTTATAGGCTTCCTTTGGAATAAGGAGAACATTTCTTTGAACAACATTTTAAGAAAATATCCATCAAGGGTTCATAGGATGAAAGCTTGGTCCTTGGTGTGGCAATGTTGGGAGGCAGTACAACTGTTAAAAGGTGGAGCCTAGAGGGAGGTTTTTGGGTGACAGGGGGCGTTTCCCTCAGAAGGGATTAATGTGGTTCTCTTGGGACCCTGGTTTGTTCCCATAAAATTAAGTTAATATAAAGGATCAAAGTCTAGTCCTAAAACCCCTAAATCTCTCTGGTGTTGTATGCAACCGTGCATCTCTCTCTCTCTCTCTCTCTCTCTCACACACACACACACACACAGACAAATCCCTGTCATCGCAATGTTATCTGTGACCAGGAGGCCCTTATTTGAGGCCAAACAGATGTAGTTATCCAATCTTGAGTTTTCAGCCTTAATCTGTGAGTTAAAAAAAAAAACCTCTTTATTTGATTCATTTCCAGTTTCAAGAATTTTGTTATAGCAACATAAAAAGACATATACGAGCCCAAACATCTTTTACATAGAATTAAGCAGCTTGCTTTTCTATCACTTTATTTGCATCATATCTTTTAATTATAGGAATATTTTGTTACCTAGTTTTGTTTTTGCCTGTATTTTGCCTGTATCTCTGCCTAACAGAGGTTTCCTTCCCTTTAGAATTACAAATTTCACCTATTCCATATCTCTGACTCATAAATATCTTTTATTCTCATGTTCTCATAAGTTATATTTGTTTCATTTTCCTTCCTTTATATATTCAAAATTTAATCAAACTTATCAGTTAATTGCTATGTACTAGTATATAGATTATTACCATATATTGCATGGAAATTAAAAAAAAAGTAATCAAGAGCTCTTTTGTTCAAGGATTTTAGGTGGGAGTGGTAGAGACCAGAAGAAACACATAAACACCCACACAGGTATGTAGAATGTTGTATATGTGAAGTCAGTTCTTTAGTAAATTTTCTAATAACATATGACTGAAAAAATATATAATGCATGTAGAGAGGAGGAATAGGAGAGCAAGAAGGTGGAGGCAATTTGTGAAGGATATAAAAGATAAAACCCGATCAGCTCTAAAAGAAGATATTCAAATACCAACTCTCTCATCTGTTGCATGGTGGACAATAAGTATTTTTCAAGATCATTCCCCCACATATACATAGTCCCTGCCTTAGTTAAGGTCATTATAGCTACAGAGAATAGGAAAGAATATATTTTAGTAAATATCAGTAGAGGAATAGATATTTAAACAAAAAAAAATACTTTATGTGTAGGTAGCCTGAAGGGAAAGGGGAAAACTGGTGAGTCCAGTCGAATATTTACAAGCTCTTCACCAATTTGTTACTATTTTCTTTAAGAGTAAACTTTCTTTATATGGATAAGCGAAATGACACTGGCCAAATACAAGCTCTGCCTATTTCTCCCACTCTTTCCATTAACATAGTTCACTCTCCATCTTACCAACACAAATTAATATTTTACATCTGCGAAAATATATTTTTCTCCTCATTTTTCCCTAGCTAATTTTACTCCTCTCTTAAGAAACAGCTAAGGCATCACTACTAGTAGAAAACTTTCTATGCTGCCATTCTGGATAAAATGCTTCTTTTCCATATTCCTGAAGTACACATTGTTTTCCACCAGATTAATTACAACAGTCTCTCTCACATAGGTTCATTAAAACCAAGTATGTGTCATATTCATCCAGTAACCTAAAAATCTGATAAGGGTTCATCCTGAAAGAATATTTGCTGAATTTTTCTGAACTGTGGTTCTGCCCTGCCCATTGAACCTCCTTCAATGAGAGCAGTCCATAAGTCTCTATCTTCATTTTCTCTTGCTAGCAGAAACTGCCCAGGAGTAAGACTCTACTGTATTTCCTCAAAGTCAGATCCTTTTAGATAACTCCCACTAAGTTTGATTCTTGCAATTTCCAGATGCCCCCAGTAAGATGTTATCATGTATAGAAGGTCAACAGATACTTTAGATTTTGCTTGATTCCGAATCAGTGTGTATATATGTATATGTATGTGTGTGTGTGTATGTATGTATGTATGTATATGTATCTATATAGATATGTATATATCTTCATATATAAATAGATAGAAATATATTAAAGATATAAATATACAAAATATCAATATATAATATATATTGATGTATAAAAATACATATAATATATAATTAATGTACATATATTTACCTTTTTTAGACTCACAACACTAATGAAGAGAGATTGATTAGGCACATGAACCTAATCTGTTAATAAGCTTATTCATAACAGCCAAAGTGTTTGTTTTTAAATGTTGCATTAATGAAAGGATAATTAGTTAGTTTTGATATGTACCAAATATTTTAATAACAATAAGCATATTGAGAATTATCTTGAACAGAAAATAATTTTGGATGGAATAGCTAAAATGTATCATAGATGTAAAACGTCATAATCAAGATCAGAGTGAGGACTAGAAAGCAATTTGGAGGATTGAATCCTGTTCTTTATGGTCTATGAATAATCTGTCTGCCACAGGGAGACAGTTTAGCTCCTGACCCTATATCTTGGAAATGGTCTTTTGTAATCTATTTAATTTCACCCTTGACTGTTCTGGTTAAGTCACAAAATCATTGTTTTTCATGCCTAAAATTTCTAACCTCTTAGGCCTCTATCTGTTTCTAATATCCAATTTGTCAAGAAGCATAGGATATGAATACTAATACCTGAATGCTCAGTGTGACTGATTTATGCAAATGTGTCATCAAGCTAAAAATAAGCTATATATTTTTTAAAAATCTTACACAACAGGATAGATTTAAAACCCAAAAAGTTATACTAAAAACATATGTAAAGACTGGTTTTAAAGATACCAAACCTATGATATTCTATCCTTATTGTAGACTGAAGCCTAAGACCATTGTAGTGATAGGTTAGACAAAAGCAATAATCCACAACTGTCAAATGTTCTCCTTACCAAAAGAGGGTGCATTCAGGAATTATAATCCTAATCTCAAAACTGCATTTTATGACCAAGCGATGTTTTTGCAAAAAACTTCAACACTTCTCACTCCAAGGAAATAGAAAGTTACTTTTGACCCTGTCCATTTCCTATTTTTTCTATATCACATTCGTCACTAAGTCTTGAATTTAATTCCTGAAGAAAAACTGCTCCTAGATACCACTGCCTTCAATCTCCAGTAGCACCAAGATCACCTAATCTCTTAGATCACCTATTAGGTTTTCCTAACTAATTGTCTTAAAAGAAATCTTGTCCCAATGTTTCATTTTAAGTTTCTATCTAACCAGAGTGATTTTTGACAAGTACATGCTTGCTTACTTTTTAATTATTTACCATCTCTTTTAGGTTTAAAAACTAAAATATTTTATGGCCCACAACCCACTGCATAATGTAATTTTAGAACAAAAGTTAAAATATATTATATCATATACAGGGTTCTCTCCTTCCTTTACCATCTCACCTATTCCCATGCTCCATTTTTCTTCCACCATTTCCAACAGATACTTCTTTTCTTTCATTACTTTATTTTCCATCCTGAATCACCTCAAGATTCTCCAATATTGTATTTATTTCTCATTCCTAATATTTAAGACAAATCTGTCTTTCACTTACCCATTCTAGTCCCCAGACTAGGTAAGTTTCCCTAATATGTAACTCTCATAACTCTCTGCCCCACGGAATCAATTTAAGATTATCTGATTTCTAAAGACAGAAAACTCAGTATCAACCCAGACTTTGTCTCTACTCTTCATGCCTATGTCCTTTCAGTGCATTTCATGACACATAATTGATTACTAGCAACTATTTGTTAAATCAAGAGTGAATGAAGCCTGCCACAGTGGCACATGCCTGAAATCCCAGAGGTTTGGGAAGCTGAGACAGGAGGATCATGAGTTCAAAGCCAGCCTCAACAACAGCAAGGTGC